TCTAATATGAAGGATGCCACAGGAATTTGATGGGAAGGCACCGTGGGAAGCATATAGAGCACAATTTGAGCTCCTGGCAGAAATGAATGGATGGACAGAGGAGCAGAAATCAGTGTAACTGGCAATGAGCCTGAAGGGACAACCACTGGAAATACTTGGACAGTTGTCAGCAGATGACAGGCACAACTATTGAGCACTGGTAGCTGCTCTAGAACTCAGGTATGGAACTCAAAATCAGTCCAAAGTCTACAGGGCTAGGTTTAGGACTAGAGTCCGTGCTAAAGGGGAGAGCCTGCAAGAGCTGGCACAGGACTTGGAAAGTATGGCACGCAAGGCCTACCCAACTGTGACACCGGATCTCCTCAAGTTGTTGCTGGGGGATCAGTTTGTAGATGCCTTAGACAGTTCACAACTTAAGATACAAGTGAAGCAAGCACACCCCTCTACCATGCAGGATGCAATGGCGAGAGCTCTCGAATTTGAATCCTACGTTAAGTGTCCAGCACAGAGGTACCGAGGTTGGTACAGTCATCTGGATTCAAGGCCAGAAAAGGTCAGCTTTCAGAGAAGTTTGAGGGACTTTGCTGGCACTGTAACAAACCTGGGCACAAGAGAGCTCAATGTCGGCAACTTTAACACAGGGAAGATGCCGCAGCAGGTAAGGCTGGTATCCAGAAAGGTTGTTGGAACTGTGGAAAGCACGGACATTTGAGGAGCCAGTGTAGGAGGAATATTACCAACAAGTCAGCCTCAAGAAGACCAGTAGTGGTTGGTGTTGAGGGACACTCACCAACCCCCACCATGAAAGTCCCAACAGCTAGGTGTAAAATGCCAAGCACACACAGTGTCTATGTGACAGAAAAGCTAGATGGCCAAAGGTGCAACTTTGTCATAGACTCTGCGTCTCAGCAAACCCTTGTGAGCATCAAGGTTTCGATCATGAAGGAGTACCAGAAGCCATACAGAAGCTTTATGGTGTGACAGGACATTGTGCAAGGTTGTGGGGACCAGTGTGGGTAACTGTTGAGTCATGGGCATGAAGAAGAGACAGAAAGTATACTTGGCTGACATTGAAGACCAATGCATATTAGGATTGGACTATTTACTACCGAGGAAGTGTGCAGTTAATTTTGATAAAACGACATTTGGGAACAACAAAAGCCAAATTCCGGTAAGTGTAAAAAGAGAGGTTGAACTAACTAGGTGTCATCAAGCTGAAATCAAAGTAACTGAAGGAGTTGATGATGGTGAAATGGAACCAGGTATAGATATTAAATCAGAGCAGGAGAAAGACCAAGATTTGAAACCAATAATTGATTTTTTAAAAGCAAGTGTTTTGTGCCCTGCTTGGGAGAAGATGTCTAGCTTAAGCCCTGTGACAAAAAACTATTGGGCACAATGGGACCAGTTGAAGCTTGAAGATGGTATTCTTTTTCAGAGATGAGAAACTGCAGATGGGAAAGTGACAACCTGGCAAACGGTTATACTGAGAAAGTTACGAGAAGTTTTGCTGTGTCAATCCCATGATAGTTTAACAGGAGCACATCTTGGAGTTAAGAAGACATTGAGTCACCTACGACAGAGATTTTATTGGTTATGTATGAGAATGGTGCAGGACATGCAGTACATGTTGTGCTAAAAGGGGACCCAAGCATAAAAGATGCTCCAATGAAGTTATATCAAGTTGGTGCACCAATGGAAAGAATAGCCATC